GATACCCAAACCTCGGGGATCCCCAAAACACTTTTACACCGTACCCCCTCTCTTCTCTCTTCCTTCGTTTCCAGAGCCTGTCATGTCATCTGGTGAAAAATAAACTAACAGGAGCTATTATCATCATGTGTCTTCTTTAATAACCTCGTGTTCGAAGTAAAAGCATTGCCAACACTTACTGAGGTCTTATGCTTGATCACGTAGTCATGCCTGACACTGATTTTTGCCTAACCACATCGTTTTAAGGTACTTTTCCAGAAATGGGCTAAGAGCATTAATCCCCAAAGGATGTCCGATGTTGCCACGAGGTGAAATTCTTGTTAATGTATTTTCTAGATCGTGCAATTTTGACATCTGTTTAATAAACAGTCAAACTGATGCAATCTATAATTCAAATGTTAACGCCAAAGTAGCCCATTTCCGAATTACTCTTGGCCTCTTTTTCTAAACGAGATCTGGTGCTCAATCATTCTTGAGAAAATGAGTTTAATTGCATGTGAATAAAAACTTATTATCATATGAAAAGATAAGCACCAGGAGTCGCTTTGAAAATGAGGCCAAGGGTAATTCGGATATGGGCTATTGAAGAGATTAACCAAATAAAAATTGATTCTCAACACAGATGCAGTTCTCAGACTTTCTCCTCTTCGGTGGCTAATTTCCAAAGAATAACAAAACTGGTGCCGAAAACCACCAACGTAAAATTGGCTTGTGTGCTTATCGCATCGTTATAACAACACCAACGACAAAATACTCGCAGTTATTCCCGAATAAGCGATAATCCATTGGACCAAGTTTGGAAATTAGCCCTTTTAACAATCTCCTAGGAGGAAAATAATTTCTCTCTACGCTTTTCTACATTCACTATATCCCCTGCTTTGGCGTAATCTTCGAAATTTTCTTTCTTTATGACGGCTTTCTCGAAGGTTGAACTTACGGAACTCGTTTCAAATTTCCATGCCTCATTAATTCATGCTGATTACGTGAATTGAACGGCTGTGATACCGGATGTGCGATGATGCTACTAGGTGAAATTCTTGCTGATATATTTTCTTGATTCGTGCAGTTTTACATTTGTTTTGTTCATAGTTACATTGGCTGCACCTTGGAAATCTGGTTCACTAGACTGTACAAGAATTACGCTAGATAAATTTCGATGGCTGTCTTCAATAGGCTATTTGTCAGCAACTTCAAATATTCTTCCCTTTCGATAGGAATTTTACACATGGGCGTCAAGAAAGAGCAACTGGATCCAATCAATTATTCATTATTTTATTCATCCATTCATTTGTTCGTTATTTCGTTTGTTCACTTAATCATAAATTTATTCATCCATCCTTCCATTCTTCCGTTCGTTCATTCAGTTCTTTATTCCTACAGTTGCTCGCTCAATCATTCACTTCATTCCTTCATTCACTTCATTAGCACACCCATTCATTCATACAGTTATATAACTATTTCTTGCTTCATTTATTCCACCTTTGTTTTCTTCTCTGCTGGTTCAATAACCTCTTGTTCATGCTCTGGTTCTCTCTTCCTTTTATTCTTCTTATTCTTTTTCTTCTTTTTGTTGTTCTTACATTTCCTTGGAAGACCTATTTTGAAGAACAACAACACGTATTAAGCCAAGAGGGAGTACTCAAGAGGGGGAGTATTTTGCTATGAAGTCTAAGAATCTAGTTCACAGCGCTAGTATGAGGGACAAGATGTTACCTTCGTCTCCTTCATCCTCCACTGTTTTTTCCAGTGCATCGTATGTTGATGCTGGAGCTGGACCAAACGTCACCTACAAAAAAAAACCTTGTGGAAGTATGACAGCAGCGTAAACACACCAAAGTGCTTTTACTCCTTGTCACACTCCCACGGTATACATAGCAGACTTAGAGTAAATTGGTTTTATTTAAATTTATCTTGATTGATTAAACATGTTTAGTAAATTAACATTTATTAATCTTTAGATTAACACCAACCAACTCGTTTTAGCCAGTCCAGTCCAACCAGTCCATTCCAAATGTGATCCGCTGTGGAGATCACTGTCATTCTCGTGGTGTTTTTCATCACGGTATATACCTCAGTATATCACTTTACATTTACTGTTCTTCTACGAATCGTGCAAAGACTCTAAAACTTTCTACATGATTGACCTGGCATTGTCTCGCTTTTTGTATATTAATTCTGCCGTAAATCCCTTTGTTTNACATTTATTTATGAATATTTGTTATGCTTACCTCATCATCTTCTAGATCATGATCTTTGTCTGTCTCCTATAAGATGGTAAAATGCAAATGACAAATAAATCTTTACACATTCAACATCTCTGAGTAAACATCTCAATATGGCACTACATATACATATACCAAGCTTTCCTTTGTTTCCTCTTTTGCACTTTCAGCCATAAAATCTCACATTCCAGTCTATTAAAGCAACCATTCATTTCTATCTCCATCTACAGGGCTAAATTAATTTGATTAAACTAAAAGGGTTTGTATATCACCATTGTATTGATTATTTTTAACCAAACCCACTCAAAGGTAATTTTCCATTGGAATAAAGCATTCACCTTAATATTACTTCTCCTCATCTCAATCTCAGCAGTGATACTGGCTTGGGGCTCTTGGTTGGACTGCAGAGCAATACAACAACATATCAAATGTTTTGTCTATAAAATATTCAAAATCAATAATTTTTTTCACACCAAATCCCCTATTGGGGCTTTTCAGTGACAATACGGAGCTTAGTAATAATAATATACCAGGTACATAAAAAAATTCTAGCCCTAACATTGTATGTGTCCAAAGGCATTATAAATTTAACTGCCAAAATTCAAAAGTTATGGTTAGTTGGTGATTGGGTTGATTGATTAGTTGGAACTAATAAACTGATAAGATTAACAACAGGTATAGGCTCTATTTCAGCAGACTCTTTCTCATTACATTAAAGGATTGAAAGAAACTCACTTAGGGCAATATTTATTCTCATTTTGTGATCATTACCTTTTCTTCACTTACTTTGGCCCTTGGCAATTTCATTCTAGGAAAAAACATTCGAAGAGGTTAAAATAATACATAAATTAAACACAAACATCAGATTTATCTTGCCAGATGTAGATTTCCATTAAGGTGACATATATCTTGATGGGTGACATGCTACTAATCAGCATCTTATGATTGTTATATTGCACTAGTTAATATTATTTTACTGACTATTCGAGGGGATTTTGGTTTGAACCTCATCTCCTCCTTGGGATAGGCATTGACGAATGATAGCATTCCACAATTGCATGTACATTACCTTTCCTTGGCAATATTTGTGACCCTTTCTGAAGCATTGGCCAGTGCATCCTTGAATTTTTGTACATCAAAGTTCGTTTCTACAAAAAAATATACTTAATTTTTAAGTATTTCATACAACAATAGCACCTCCTGACACTTATTTAACATACTATACTTAAAACTTATGTAACCATTTATGTTAAGACAAACAAGCATGATTACCATAGCTGTCAGCTGCAACAAAATTAATTTGGAAACAATTTCAGAACAAATACTGCTCAAAACATATCAATTAAGCTATAGGATTTACTTCTTACCATTTACAATTTCCAAGCACTGTGGAATTTGGGATGGGACCACAACAAGCAGTGTGGTTTGATCCCCCACTCCATATTTGGCTTGAACTAGGAGATGATCACATATATAAAACATTTATGATTAAGATGTGCATCGGTTCATCACCATTTATTCTCATTTCACCTGTAGATGCATAATGCCACGTGCAAGGCTGTAGTCTAGCAGTGCCTGGTGGCCCTTGGCGCCTTACTTTTGCTCTTGGGGAACTCAGGAATTTTTGTTTTTTCATACAAAGCATATGCTGGGCAGCCTAGATTTCATATTTTCATTGCACTGGGCTCCATTCAATTTTCCTTAGAGCATGGCCTTGCATGTGGGTTTCTCTTACCAACAAAGGCTCTGGTGACAGATGGTAAGCCAGTCACCCACCCTCCACCTGACCCTGGTGTTTGGAAGGGCAGATCTTAACACCGGGAATTGCTCCCTACCCTTTTCGTTCAGTGTGGGTTCTTTGGTATTTCCACTACCAGTTTTAACATGTGGAGGCGAAGGAGACAAGGCTAATATCTTAATGTCACTGCCCAATGACATCATCTTCTGAACTGAAGTAGATGGTGATCTGCTCTCCTGAAGGGCTCAAGACAAGAAATTCCTGCTGGGCTTTGGTTGATTTTGAGTTGGCTACAAAGTTACTGGAATTTAATATGTGGCCTTCGTTTCAATTGAAAGAAAGATTCCCTCATGATTATTTTTGCAGTTCAACTGTTACTTTTGGAGAAACACAGGTTGAAACATGCATTCACACAATAAGTCACTTAGCACAGTTTTCTGATATTCATGGGTGAATTACATAGAGGTTAAACTTGTTTATGTCAACTTGTATAGTTCCGAAATTGCAGGCATGGAAAATGTTTACTTAAACTATCAATAAGTTAACTCACCTTTAGACACTTCATTTGACTGGGTATCAGCAACCCAAATTAAAACTTTATGGTGCCAACCGTTGTTTAACACCCGGAAAAAATATATGTATATAATATGCATATTTAACAATTATTCGCCAAAGGCGTGGTGAATATCATCAAATAATCGACAATATTCACCGAATCTGAGGCGAATAATTGTTTATTTATAATGCCTTACAATGTACAAAGGTCTTACAGAGGCCTTACAAAGGAAAAGTTGTATCGATGTTGAAAGTTTCAACATCGATACAAATGATTCAACATGCTTTCAATATCTTTTACGTTTTCAACAATGTTGAAAAAATTAGGTTCAACAAATTGTTCAGTTTATGCTGAGGTAAATGTTAAAGTCTTTTAAACAGGCCTTAATACTGAACAGCTTTCTGCAAACTTCTTAAGTATAAATTCAAACTCATTCAGTACAGTTTCTAACTCATTCAGTACATCTGTGTACTGAATAAGTTTGTTTTTGATGAGCTGTCACATTACGCATCGATGAGTGGACACTTTTTACTTTTCGAGTGTGTTAAGCATACGCAACAAGTTAAAACTTAGCTCATTGGCTAATTTTGTACTAGTTAGTTCATTCCAGATTCTTTTTTGCCATTCCAAAAAGGTTTTAGCCTGTGTTACTAATAACAGATATGAAACATTCACATACAGGTAACACTCACAATGATCATTTGGGATTACATCTAGCTTCTTAATTGGAGTTTAAGGTCAAAACTTTTTTGGTTGGGATTTGCCTGACTTTTTTATGTGGCTTTTGCAGGTAAAAATCAGATTTAGGTAAAAAAAAATACTATAGCCATGGCTGAATCTCCATTCCCTATGTCCCCCAACATGTGCAGAAACTCTGTTCTTTTCTTGTAGGTTTATCATTTGATAAACAACTAGCACACCTTACATTGAAATCAGCGTATAGAGTTAACCCTTTAGGCCCAAAGAGTGACTAGCATCAAATTTCTCCTTGTAAGATCAAAAATTTGTGAATCAAGAGTGGTTGTAAGAATTAAGGACAAGACAATGTTCACTATATCAATTTTTTTTTAATATTTCACCAATGTCTCCCATTAATTGTATAGATAATGTGTAAGTCTTGAGGGTTAAACAATTAAGGCACTTTTCAATCATTCTCACTGATAGAGCGAGTTACTGATTATATCACAGCTTCTGCATTACGATTGCTTTTGTTTTTGTGCTAAGCTCATTGTTTATTGTCATAATGCTAGAGTAAGATATGCACGTTGTTGTGTAGTTTCCATTTCTTATTATTCACAACCTATTTGTGATGTAAATTTTAAAATATCCTTACTTACCTGAGAAGGAAATCAGCAGATTTTTCAGAATTATTCTGACTGAATAGTACCAGGAGGCACACTGCTGCATCTTCTCTTCCTTGCCACAACATCTGTTAGACAAGTAATTGTATTATGTATTATAATGCAGCGGCAGTTTGATCATCTAGTACAAAATAATATAACTAGCGATAATAGAGGATTAGTGAATGCATTCGAGTATCCATTACTGCGGAAGTCTGATGTGCAAATACTGAAATTGATTACAAATCTGTGACATATATAAATTAGGTTTCTTCCTTGTTTTCAGGAAAACAGGTGAAAAGTTTTTTTTAAACTGGTAAGACAGTCAGGCAAATTGCAATAATGTTCATTATTACGTTTGTTATTTACATCTGCTCAGTTAGCTTTGCTCTCCATTGCAAGTGGTCTGTGGATTAAGGAGATTTCAATGTGTAATAATTGAAGAAATACTGTTATGTAATTAAAACAAAGAAAGAACTTCTGTACCTCTTTCAGAGAATGGGTCATGAAAGGTGGCAACACAACCTTTCCTTTGGTGACAGATGTCACCTTTTTTATTATAAGGGCCACCTCTTCTGTATGGCCCTTATAATCTTTATCATTTTCTTCTAAAAAACACAAACTTAAAGAACAATACAGTCCATGTCAAAAGTAAATGCTTTGACAGCTATGATTATAATATTAAATGTAATAATAATAATAATAATAACAAATATTATTAATGGTAATAAAAGTAACCCTTATGATAATAAGCAAAATACAGAGGATAATCTTCAATAGTCCCCAAGATAATTTGAGGAGTAATGAATGATATTTTATGAAATGGTGACAAAATATCATCTTGTGTTTTATGTTCATTAATTAAATCCATATCTTTCTTGGTAAGACTAAATTGTGTGCAAGAAAAATAGCATGATACTAAGTTCATTATTTATACATTGTAGGTCAAACTGAAATTATAGTTAAAATGCTTTCAATCAAGGTTGAAATCAATTTCCCTTTAATATTTTCTAGCAATAATTTGTCATAGATGATGAATGATTATGGTAAAAAGACAAAGGCAAGTGAGGACCAACACAGCTTGAAATCCTTTTAACTTAAGTTGAATTATTACCAACACCATGTGTATGTGTTCACTTCTAAATTCCAATTTGATCAGGAACTCTAGCACCACAGGTTTGTTACTAAAAAGACTAGCTATTATGTGCTACCCTTGTTAAACAAAGTCAGTTAGGTAGGTTGAAATCAATTTCCTTCGTAAAAAATAAATATATACCCACTTTCAGGAAATCTAATGGTGGAAAAGTCTTCCACAACATTCCCAACTGAAAAACAATTTTTGTATAATTATATGAATTACATCCACTTTGAATCGAAGTTTACCTATTTGGCCATTTTCAAGCCTAATATTGATGTCAACAAAAAATATTATAATCTTGCACTGACAAATTAGGAAGCCCTTTAAATTACATGCAAGCATGCAAATGATGCAAAGACTTTATGAAGTGCAATTATAGTTTCAGCTGAATAGATACTTCACATGCTACAAATTAACAGTGGCTGAAGTTAGTTATACACACACGTATATGCCAAGCATATCCCACCTACCTATTTCTGGCTCCATCGCTAATACTTTAATATGAT